CACCGCCCGCCCTTCCAGGAGACGGGGGACACCGCCCGCCCTTCCAGGAGACGGGGGACACCGCCCGTCCTTCCAGGAGACGGGGGCACAGGTGAGGACATGTCCTGGATGGCAGGGTGTTCTGGGAACCTCACTGCTCCCATGAGTCTCTGTGTTTCCTTTCCAAGTCTAAACTGGAGTTCAGTAGTAGGGTCCGGCGCCCCGCGACAGGGGTGGTGCCACATGGAGTGTCCCCCGGGATGGGAGGAGTGTCCCCCGGGATGAGAGGAGTGTCCCCAGGGATGGGAGGAGTGGGGGCCGGCCCCCTACTGGCCTCCGGTGGGGCAGGGTGGCCCAAGGGGCTCTTTGGTTCAGGGACAGGGTGCTGGGCCTCATCTGGTACGGTTCTGGCGCATGAGGGGCACGATGCTGGCAGGCGGGCCCGCCTTGGCCAGGAACGGGTGCTTCAGCAACTCGGCCGCCGTGGCCCGCTGGGCAGGGTCACGCACCAGCAGGCGGTCCAGAAAGCCCTTCAGGGATGGTGACACCTGTGGGGGAAGTGGGGGGGGGGTCAGGGGGGCGGGTCCTGCCCTGGGTCTGCATGCCAGCTCCACCATTCCCTCGGGTGGGGCCTCAGTTTCCTCCTCCGCCACATGGGCTGACAGCACTTAGTGCCCAGGTAGCTGGCGGAGGTCAGGGGTGTCTGGAGCTTGGCTGGGGGATAAAGACCAACCCGGAAGACCCCGCCTGGGGGCTCGTTCCCTGCCCGTTCTGGTGGGGTGGCGAGGAGCTGGCAGCAGCTGGGCGCTGGAGCACCCCTTTTCACAAGGTGATCCCTCCCACAGGAAGGCCCCCGTCACATGTCCCCTGACCCAGCTCTGCTGTGTGCGTTCAGCCAGGCAGGCCCAAGCACAAGGGGACCCCGCGTGCTCTGCTCGCTCTTGGCCGCTCAGTCTCCTGCATGAGCCTATTTACACGGACGCATGCGGCCCGGAGGTAGGGGACAGCACCCAGTAAGCACACCCTCTCAGGAGCCGCATGGAGCATAAGCCAGGGGTGCCCGCCCGCCCGCCCGGAGGGGCCAACCTTGTGCAGGTTCTTCAGGCGGGGCGGCAGGTTGTCCCGAATCATCTTCATGGCCTTGAGGGGGGGCTCGTTGAAGTAGGGGGGCTCCCCGTCCACCATCTCGATCACCATCACTCCCAGAGACCAGATGTCCACCTTGGGGGAGAGGCCACGAAAGGACGGCCAGTTGGTGGCAGGCAGGAAGCCCCGGGGAGGGGTGGGCCTGCTCTGCCTCTGCGTCTTCATGCTGGGCCCAGAACACCCTCTCTCAGAAACATAGGAGGAAACCCAGCTTGGCTCTCACACCTCCCTGCCCACTGTGACCTCTATTCCAGCCCCTGGGTCCCCCATTGGGTGCTCCCCAGGGACGCCTTTTTCATGGCCAGGCACTCGGTCAAGTCCTGTTGGCTGACTGGCTGGAGCAGTCCTCACGGCCACAGGCCACGGCTCCAAGGCTCAGGGCCAGGCACACCGGCAGCGACTGAAGCAGGTCAGTGGAGGGCAACAGGGATGGGTGGGGACTGCGGCCCAAAACGAGTGCCCTGCCCCTTTGACAGGGAAGCAGTGCCTCGGTGCTGCCGATTGTTGCCATGTGGGAATTTGGGTTCCACATGGCCAGCTCGCCCAGTTTTCGGCCAGAGGATGGACATCTGAATTTTTATGTGAGAGCTCTCTTTAAAAGCTTCCATGAGCATCTTCAGGGCACCCAGCCGGGAGCCTGCCAGTCTGTGCCCCTGTGCCAGGCTGTCTGGCAGGGCCCACAGCCACGTCAGCTCGGTATTCTGTTCCCGCTGCCAAGCGCTGGGCCTGCTCAGCACTACTACTTGATCAGGAATAAAGGAGTGAGTGAACAAATGCCTTCCTGTCTTTTGGTCTCAGCGTCTGCACCTCCTCTTCCATGAAACCACCCCTAGTGACCAGTCCGCAGACAGCCTCACCCTGCCTCACCGGCTGCCCCGCGCTGTCTGTCCCAGCACAAGCCCGTGCTGCCTGCGGGCCGGCTCTGGGCTCACCTCTGGCCCGTAGGGAAGGCGGGAGATGAGCTCCGGGGCCATCCAGTAGGGTGTGCCCACCAGCGACTTCCTCCGTGGCACCTCCTTGCTCACCTGGGCGCAGAACCCAAAGTCTGACAGCTTCACCTGGGTGAAGGCAGAAGGGTCACAAGGGGCCGGCGTGGAGGGAGGCAAGCAAGAGGCATCCACTTAAGGAAGCCTCAGCCACAGACACACTGGGGCTCCACGGTGCAGCCCGGAAGCGAAGAGCTGGCCTCCGGGGCCGGACTGTGGGTCTGAGCCCCGAGGCGTGTCACCTTCTTAGGCGTGTGACAGAGTCTGTGAGGGGCAGGCAAGATCCAACACGGGAGACCCGCTGGGTGCTGGATAAGCCAGAGCCAGCACTCACCTAGCGCCTGCCCCCGCAGCCCCTGTGAGTGCTTCATGCCTACCAACTCCTGGAGCCCCCACAGCAGCTGCATGAGGTGGGCACTGCCAGCATCCCTATTTTTCAAACGGGTCAGAAGTGGCCCAGAGAGGTGGAGCGCCTTGCTCAAGGTCACATAGCTGGTGAGAGGCAGAGCTGGGTGTGACCCCAGTTGGGCTGGCTCCAGAGTCCATTCCCATAACCACCGTGCTACGTGATCATGATAATAACCACCACTGTCCCGCCAGCATCCAAGGGCTGGGCCCTGGGCTCAACCACCAACACGTGATTTCTTCAGATCCTCCCCACGAGGCTGGGAGGCAGGGGCTGTGAGATCACAGCCACTTTACATACGGGGAGGCTGAACTTGGGCAGGTCAGTGGAGGACCTGCGTTCTGGGGACAGGGACAAGGGCAGGCCCCAGCCTAGACACCGTGTGGACTAGATCTGAGGGGGAGGCCCCGGCCCCTGGCAGTCACTGGCCACACTAAGGCTCTTGGGAGAAGTGGCCCAAGTCCTGCAGACACCAAAGGCTGGGACACAGTCTGGCTCCCAAAGCCCAGACCCTCGGCTGCTCCCTGGAGGAAGCAATCCAGGCCACAGATCTGAGGGGACACAGCTCTACACTGGGGGGCCTGAGAGGACACAGCCCTGCCCTGGGGGTCTGAGGGGACACAGCCCTGCCCTGGGGGTCTGAGGGGACACAGCCCTGCCCTGGGGGTCTGAGGGGACACAG